GGGGGGAAAAAAAGTCTTGGTGCAACTGGGAGCGATAGGTTTGTGGATGAACTATGACAGTACAAATGTCACAGGAGGAGTCAGGCAGGGCTGTGATAGGAGAGGCAGCCAGCAGGAATGCTATTTACTCAGAGTTCTCAGCACAGGACACAGAGCATCTGGGTAGACGTGAAAGGCCAGTCAGAAAGACACTTCCAAAGCAAGCTTCCCAAGGAAAATGGGCACCAAGGGGAAAGTAAGTAATTAGCCTACATCTGCATTTAGCTTCTGCTTCTCTTATGTCTTTGCACAGTTGCTGAAGATGCTTCCTTCCGGGTTACACTCAAAGCACAGTGATTTAAAGTCAGCTAAAGAGACTGACTGGAGCAGTGCATAAGCTAGAAATGTGTTCTAAGGAAAACACATTTGCTAAAGTGTCTTCTACGGTACTCACATGTTATTTAAATGGGGGGTGGGTGGCGGGGAGAAAATCAAGTTTCCTATGCTATAACCATCAGTGCAGAGAAATTTAAAGCATAGGAACAGATGGGACAAAGTAGATTGCAAAATGCTGTGTATATGGCCCCATGGAGGACACCCAGTGGCTTTTCAACATAAGGGGAAGGAAAGTGACAAAAGTATAGATGGATTTTTTCTTACTTGTATTTTGAAATTTCTTGTAATGAATATACATTGTGTTTGCAATTTAAGAAATAACAATTTAAATCATAATTAAATATTGCAAAGAACAATTGAGAAGCAGGTTTTCAAATGGTCAAAAATGTATGCCAACAGTACAGGTAGTAGTAAGAACAAAAGATGACAGACTTCACATTTTCTTTCATTTTTACATATATTTGAAATTAAAAATGAAATTTTAGACTAAAAAACTTAATGTAGGAATTAATTGTAAAACTTTAGGTGCTTTGTTTCTTTTCATGCACTTGAGCTCAATTCTCAGAAAGAGAACAATTTTTATTTAACTTACATTCTACTGATTGTGTAATTGACTGTGTAAGTCTCAGTTGCCAGGTTTTTTATCATCTGGAGACCCTAGTCAATTCCAAGTTAGTGGATTTAGAATGGGACTTTCTCCTCTAACAGTTCCAGAGTGACAGAAATACCTGTTTGTCCAATGACTACACTCTAGTAGCAAATCACACCTATGCTAATGAGCTGGACTCAGATACTTTAGAGCTGGCTACAAATGCCTATTGACAATCCACCAAAACTTTAAGCCTTATAATTACATCTTCTTTGCTTAGAGATAAATATGTAGGCATGGTATTAGAGTAAATTTTTATATATTTGTTTCCTCAAGATATAAAAATTACAATGGCTCTAACATAGAAATTAATTTATGTGAAGACATCTTCTCCCGAAAATAATGTAAGTATACATGCATCTAGTCACAAACTCCTTTTTCATGTAATTATACATGTCCATAAAAGGCATTGGCCTTTATGGACAAAAACCACCTTATTCTATCTTTCCCTCCCTTCTCTCACCACTATTCTGTCTCTCACCTCTCTCCTGTCCTTCCTCTCTCCTTCAGGTTATTACATGCAAGGCAGCCATTGCCTGGGAAACAGGCAGTCCCCTTTGCATTGAAGAAGTTGAAGTGTCTCCTCCTAGGGCTCATGAAGTTCGAATTCAGGTGAGTAGAGACTTTAGCTGGACAATACAGACATGGCCCTGAACTGAATGTTGACTTTCCCCTGTGGACAAATCTATTTTTAGAATCAGACTTAAAAAGAGGCATTGTCATGTGTCTTAGTTGGGGTACCTATTGCTATGAAGAGACACCATGACCACAGCAACTCTTATAAAGGAAAACATTTAATTGGGTGGCTTGCTTATAGTTCAGAGGTTTAGTCCATTATTGTCATGACAGGAAGCAAGGCAGCATGCAGATAGACATGATGCTAGAGAAGGAGCTGAGAGTTCTTACATCTTGACTCACAGGCAACAGGAAGTGATCTGAGACACTGTATGTGGCTTGAGCATATATGAGACTCAAACCCCACCTCTTCAGTGACATACTTCCTCCTAACAAGGCCATGTAGACCTATGTTGTTACAACTGCATGGTGTACATTCTCTCATCTCTTTTTCCTTTGATGTTTCCTCTCCTAGAAATAGTATCACTAACACAGTGTGTTTTTTTCAAGCAACAAAAAAATTTAGAAAATTAAACTGGATTCCAGGAATAAAAGAATATAGCATAGTAAATTATTTATGTCCCTTTTTTTCAAAATATAATTCTTTTGCTAAATACTGGGATTGCTATAATGCTTCATGATACTGTTGGGCCTAAGAACATAGCTACAGAACCACAACTCAAGTCTGCCTTGCTTCCTTTGTAGGTAATCGCCATGTGTGTGTGCCCTACTGACATCAACGCTACCAATCCTAAGAAGAAAGCTCTCTTTCCTGTAGTCCTTGGCCATGAGTGTGCAGGAATTGTAGAAAGCGTTGGGCCAGGAGTGACCAACTTCAAACCAGGTATTTCACTTCTGATTTCAATGAACTAGGAATTCTCAGCCTTCCCTGTGATGGCTCCTCACAACTGCCTTTGCTTTTTGTGCTGCCTGGGCTTTGCTAAGAGTTCATCTTTCCTAAAGGAAAACTGACACAAACAATCTGTCATGGCATAACAAGGAAACAGACTATTTGAAACCAGAGTAGCCTAATAAAATTCTGGAAATACAGTCATGTTATTTACATAAACAGAGAAGTTGTCCTATAAAGCAAAGCTATAGGGTTAGTGCAAACTGAAGCTTGTATGGTTCACAAATGCTTCCTCCATGTGAAATGGAAATTTACTTTATGGTTATGTAAAAAGTGACGGTTTGCTGAAGGCTTAAGGGAAAGGCACCACACACATATCAATTTTAGTCTAAGCGTCATTTTGGGAGTTCATAAGATAAAACACAATACTCTGAAGCAAGCCAGTGAGGGAACCACATCACCCCTCATCCAAACTCGAAAGCATATTAATATTTTCCACTCCAAGTATGAGCACAGATTTGCTCCCTCAAACCCTGCATTGTTGAAGGTGTGACCAGTGTCTACCTTTAGTCCTGACTCTGCCATTTACTAGCTATATGACTAGGCCAGTTACAACGATTTTTGTGATTAGACTTGGGTTTCTCTTTTCTAAAATGCGGCGGTGAGAAGTAAAACACGAGCAAACACACTAGCTGCTGATCTCATGTGCATTATCATCGAATCGGTCATCAAAGAACCAAACAGGAACTGGTTAAGGAGCTAATAAATGTGGGATTGAAAAATGAACAGAATGGTCAGGCGTTGGTGGTACACGCCTTTAATCCCAGCACTCGGGAGGCAGAGCGTGGGATTGGAAAATGAACAGAATGGTCGGGCGTTGGTGGCGCACGCCTTTAATCCCAGCACTCGGGAGGCA